TAGCGAATTGGTTTTAGTCTTAAAATGTTCCTCAACTTATGTGTTTTTAAAATAAACAGAATAAGATTTTTGTTTTGGTTAATGTATTGATTAACTTGTTTAATAAGATTTCAGAAAAATTTTTATTTATATGTATTTATATGTAATTGTATATGTATTTGTATACATTTTTAAAGTTATTTAATATGAGTTAGGAGTAAGTATTGCAAAGTTGCTAAATATTATGGAGAATGGGTCACTGAGATTCTGAACAATATATAAATACATATAAGTAAACATATGTTTAATTAATTTTTAACATTCCCTTTCTAATAATAGAAACAAAATGTAATTTTCAAAATTAGTTACTCTTTAGTAAACTTTAATTTGTATTTATATAGAATCTCTTGTGTATTGTTTTTCATGATAATATTACATGAATGATAGTACAGTTCACGCTACAATTGCGTGACTAATACTTGAAAGATATATTTGTTTTATGATGTATAAAAGAATATCGTAATAGAATATTTAGATATTACATATATAATTGTTTATTTAAAAAATTTGTATCAAAAAATTACATTAACAAAAAAATTAATCTGATTTTTATGCTTTTAAAATCATTGTGCATATTTCGGGAGCACATAAATTGAGGAATATTTTAAGACTAAAACCAATTTGCTACCTGTATTTTAACTGGTTAGGTACTCTTGTACGTATGGGGTACTCACGTTCAGGTCGGTCAAAGGGGATAAGCACGAAAATTTCATTGTGCATATTTCGAGAACACATTAATCGAGAAACATTTTAAGACAAGAATTATTTCGCTTTCTTTATTTTAACTGATACTTTATTCTTATATCAGTAGTATATATATCTTTTTTTGCGTATATTTTTTAAACTATTACAGATAGACTAATTTTGTTTGAGGCATTTGAAAGCACATAAAAAGCATATAATTCTAGCATATTGAGTTTTTTATTTTATATGTAATTTTAATGAGTGGGGGTGCTAGCTTACGTTAAGCCAGCACCCTCAGTTTCAATTGCAATTTCCCACGAAACCGCTCGAGCACAAAAATCGTGAATAGAGCACATAATTAACGCATAAAGAGCACTTAATTTCTGCATATGTGTTATTCCGGTTTTTTATGGAGGGTGCTAACTTAACAGACATAAATACATTATATTACTTTTTTACCTTTTAAGATTTTTTCCTTTGTTTACGGATGTTTGCAAATCTAAGCTATTCCATTATAGAGTGTTCCAAGTCTTTCTCTGTATTACAAGGGATTGTTGTCTAATAGCCTCTAAAACAAGAAGAATTCAATATAGTTTAGATAAGAAAAAGGTTGTAATTTAATATATACATAATTTAATTATAATAAGCAGCTTTACTTACGACTTGTGTAAAAGCTTCTTGGTCATCTTTTAGCATTTCTAGTATCTTGTACAGAGTTTTTCCTTATAATATATTGTTCACTGATGGTTATCTTAGCCAGGGTCAAATTTTTCAAATGGTGGTTTTTTGAATTTGATACAACAATTGATCCCATATGTTAAGACATATTCATTGCCCTGTACATATAAAATATGCTTACAATAATTTATTTATATACTTTAGAGTGTGATTATAGCACATATATGTGAAAAAAATATAGAAATAAATAAAAAGTCAGTTTTGGTCTTGTTTGTACTGATCGTTTGTTACATATCTATCAACTTTATACCAATTTTATACTAAATTACTTTTACAGTGATATATGCAAACAATGATATATTAAAGCCGCACAATACTTCAACAAATCGTCTTCATGCATACCAGCTTATTTATACGTTATCATTTACATATTTCGCTAAATTTTGAGGTTATTTTATAGAAAGTTACACGCAGCTACTATTCATAGCACAAATAATTATAGCACGTATATGGTTAATTGAATTCTTATCATTAATGTACAACTTTTAGAATATAATAGTTACTACTTATATATAAATATGCTGTAAATAAAGAGCACTCCGCACTCCTCGATTGACACACGTGTATACGCACTCACGCATCGTATGTAGGATAATCATGTACATCATGGCTGTCGCGATGAGCGTTGCGCACAATATAAAACGATAACATTATAACAACAGAAAATTAATATACTACCAACGTTATTTCTGAGTCCAAATTACAAGGAATTTTGAACTGTTGCATTGATCTCAAATAAATGTCAGAGTAACATTTGAAAAATATTTTCTGTAACGTTTTCAAATTATTTTAACAACATTCAGAAAAATCATATTACGAAATAATATTTTTCAAATATGTGTATAATATTATTAAAAAACGTTTAAAAAATACACATAAAGTCAATATTTCTAAACGTTAATTTAATGTTCCTTGCTTACTGGGAGTGACCTTTCTTGCGATAATGTTACTTTAGGTTAGTGTCGTCTTTGCCCCGGTGGCGTCGTGTCGACTTAGCCCCGAACGTCGTTTTTTACTTTTGTTACTCCAAAAATATATAAATTTTGAAAATGTGCAAAAATTATTATCGGATTCGTATAAAGCATCGAATTTCCCATCAAAATCACTTAGCGGTAGATTTGCAAGAGTAAAGCTCGATGAAAGAGTAGACATTTTCGAGAAATCAGAAAAATTACTTTTCACTATCAAAAACACTTATGTCGCGTTAAAAATTACACTATAACTCAGAATGTTACCAAATTCCGTTGATAACACTGGCACATAAAGACGCATTTACAGTAGCAAAGGCAAGTTTCTACGATAGATTTAAATTGGCAAAAAGCCTAGTGTCAAGTTCGCCCCGCTGTCGGCTTAGCCCCGGTCTCCCCTACTTATCTTAATACTTATAAACTTTGATTGCGCCGATTTTTGCCGATAAATGAATTTTACTTCTCGCCGAACCGTTACACGTGTTCGCTCTTTGACTTTACGCAAGTAAGTGATTTGATCTAAACGAGGATGATCTATCACTCTTATTAGTATTGATTGATACCAGCAGAGTGCGTAACTTGCCGGGTTACGATTACATCAGCGCACTTACTTTCATCTATCGAGAAATTGCACGCTTTACGAAAATTACTTATTTCTAACAGCAACGACAGAAAACTACAGATTTAAAGAGATTATCAAATAACTCAACAATTAATACTATAAACTATCGCCAGATGCGAACATTATTCGATTATAACAAAGTGTTCCAACGTACAGCTGTACCCAATAAGGTACAGCATCTTCTCTTGTATTATACACTAACAACGTTTTTGATAGAAAAGTGTAGAGAATGTGGAGCATACATATATTGTACATGTACATATGAAAATTTGTTAGTTTTTTTTGTAAACAATGGTAGGATATTAGTTTCCTTTCAAATGGTCGAATTGGAAGTTAACTTTCTGTAAGTGACAAACCGTCAATACTTTACATTTAATTTAATTTCACTTCTTTTTATGTATTTCTTCTATAATTGTACCGATCTCTCGAGACCAGAGATGAGATCGAAATGTATATATAAGACCCGCCACCTACAGATTTAATATTAATGGATGCATTTCGTGGTGCTTGAAACAAAACTCAAATATTCTTAGGCAATTCTACATGCCCACGTTTTCTCAGGATTGTAAGTAAATCGTGTGAAGGTTTTTAAATAAACGGCACTCAGCGTAAGAAGTGAATATATAACTTTACTTGGAGATATCAATAATACAAAACTGTACGGACCGAATACGTCTGTTCCCTGCGTTCGCCCGGATATCTCTCCTCTCGTCGCCCGTGTATTACTCCACGTGCGTCCTTCCGCTGTATCCTTCCGTGTGATAACACGTGATCGCCTTACGCTATCGCTACTTTATATAGAGCACGAAATTAAAATAGCCTCACAATCGTTAGCAGTGTTATATATGCAATGTTATAATTAATAATTAATTTTTGAAAATGTTCCCATAAAGTAATATTATTCGTAATATTATTTATGTAGTTAGAAACATTTGTTATCTTAGAGATGTTATCTTCTACTTCAACGTTTTGTTCTTCGTTCTTTTGTTTCAACTTCACTTGTCATTTATATTCGAACATCCTTCTTGACTTGTTTATATTCCAACATCCTTTGTGTACTTTTTTTAAAATTCATTTACTTATAATTACCTCTATAGTACTTGAGATTAATCTTTATCCAAGATTAATTTTAACGTTGTAATGATAGTCATTTCTAATTTGCCTTTAAATTTCAATATTCTGCAAAAACAATGTGCTTTTGTCTAGATTATAACCAATGTTTCGATCGGCTTTCTTTATAGCTCGTCGAAAATTCTTGAATTACGTCCAGAAAATTAAACAAATTTTTAAATGATAAGCGTTGAGTATAACTTATTTTTTCTCTTAATACAATAAACTTCTGAAATAGTGAGAGACTGTTGGTACTTCTATAGATTATTATATAATAATATTTATCAAATTCAGATAATTGAATAAAAAAATTCCCGAAATTTTAAAAAATAAATATTTATTAATTTCAAAATAAGAAGCTTCCTTCGCCAGTAAATAAATACAAAATAAAAGTCGTTTTTGTTCGACCCGACTGGCCAAATAATAAATATATTTAAAATTCACAACGTTTCAACCGCATTTTCGGTCCTTCTCAAGTGATTCATCAAGCTATGCATCCTCAAAAACCGCGTACAAAATATCGATTACGTCGCTGACATCGTGCCCTAACCACATCATGCACACGTAAAGCTAAAAAAGTGAAATAAACTCACGATAGTCAAAAAGATAAAAACGCTCAGAAGTCATAAAATAAAAAGTAAGAATACAATTAAATAGTTGAGTTAAAAATAGTTAAGTTATAAATAGTTAAGTTATAAATAATGTACAAAGTAAAATGTAAGGCTTACATATTCTGTGCGTCAAAACGGAAAGTGAGAACGGTAGCGCAGAACGAAGAAACGTCGCAAGCCATAGCTGCGAACACATCAGTACAGCGTGACAGACGAAGTCATACTAAATGACCGATACATAACAAATAAATAGATGTGTTCACAGGTGGAAACGAGCAGAACAAAAGTGTAAATTAAGTGACACCAATCAAACGGTTGTAATTCGCGGGCAGACTTTCTGTGTCTTTTTGAAGATTGATTGCGCAATCACATTTTTTAATAAAAAACATCTCAGAGATTTCACGTTTCTTAAAGTGTCGCTCCTTATATAAAATTTTTGGTTGTTGCCAATTGAAATCGTGGTTATGCGTGAGACGGTGCTTACTAACTACAGAATGATTATCGTTGTTCTTCCTAATATCACAAAAATGTTCCTTAACCCGTGTCTCTAGGTGCCTTTTTGTTTGACCAATATATGCAGCTTTGCAATTAGCACAATCAATCTCATATATCAACTCCGTTTGCTTAAGATTCGGTAGCGTATCCTTCCCCCTTTTAATAATGCAATCCAACCTTTTCGGAATGGTGAGGAGAACCCTGAATTCTGCATCGCGCATTGTACGGCCAACACCGTCACTAAGGCCCTTAATATACGGTATAGTGATAAACTTTCGAGGATCCTGGGCTACATTGTTACTGCTAGATCTATTATTATTGTTATGACGTGTCTGTAGCTCGTTAAGTCTGATGTTAATGTACATACTTGTTAATTAATTTTATTGGATAACAATTATTAGAAAGAATCTTTTTTATTTCGATTAAATTAGACTTATGAAAACGTACGTCAGATAAAAGAATAGCTCGGTCAACAAGATTACGTATAATATTAATTTTGTATTTGAGAGGGTGATTCGAAAAATAGTTTATGTATCGCCCCGAAAAGGTCGGTTTTCGGTACCAATTCGTAAGCCCTCTCGAATCACTATTGTGTCAAGAAAACTTAGAGAATTATTCTTTTCTATTTCAAATGTAAATTTTTATCTCAGCCGAGCGGTTTTTGAGGATGCATAGCTTGATGAATCACTTGAGAAGGACCGAAAATGCGGTTGAAACGTTGTGAATTTTAAATATATTTATTATTTGGCCAGTCGGGTCGAACAAAAACGACTTTTGTTTTGTATTTATTAATTTGTTGATATCAAGCGATTTTTGTTTGTTATTGGAATAAAATGATGTTCTTGTAGGTATCCTCGGGATCAGGCATCTGCAGGTGCTGCTGCTGTTCCTGGCTACGTCCATCGGATTCAGTCTCAGGCTTGCGATGTCAGTGGCCATAGTACCGATGGCGAACGCGAGCACCGCGAATCCTGACATCGAGGTAAATTACTTAATTATGTCTTTTTATCGGCTTAAAACCGGTGATTCAAATACCGACGCTCGGATAATTTGAAACACTAGAAACGTTCTTGTAGTGATTGTTAGATGAACGTATCCCTTCTCCTCTGAACATGCTTCGTTACATAATAATATCAACTTAAACCTGTATGAAGTTCCCTACCAGTTTGCTAGTTCAGATGCGTCCCGAAGAAGTGCGCAAGAAAACAGTCCAAAATTGCGACAAAAGTGCATAATATCTGTAACTGAACGAGTACTTACTGTACTATTGCAGTAGTCTGCTGTAAGAAGCTACTGTGAAATTTTATACTATTTGTTAAAAGTAAACATGTAGCAGAAATGTGAAAACAATATGGAAGTATCTTTTGAGTACAGATCCAACCGGCAGAAACGTGAAAAGAACGTGCAAGCATCTGCCCGTGAGAAAAAGAGCAGTCGAGTGTGCTAGACGCTTGAAACATATTTGCAGCAAAATTTCACAAGTGTATGTTGCTTAAATTGTTGTTTTTGCCGTACAGATTCGACCGGCAGAAACGTGAAAAGAACGTGCAATCATCTGCCCGTGAGAAAAAGAGCAGTCGAGTGTGTTAGACTCTTGAAACATATTTGCAGCAAAATTTCACAAGTGTATAATGTCGCTTAAATTGTTGTTTTTGCCGTATAGATCCGAGTGACAGAAATGCGAAAAAAGCGTGTAAGCATCTGCCGGTCAGAAAAAGAACAGCCGAGCGCGCTAAACTCCCAGACAGCACAAAATATTTATAAAATATTTATAAAATATTTATAAAAAAGATTAAATATTTTGAAAATGTATACGTTGAATATTTTGTAAATATTATAATGTCCGGAAAATAAAAGTATCTAAAAAATTATAATAAATAATTTAAAATAAAGTGTA